CCAGAATTGGTGTGGTGAGCTGTGTGTTGACCCCACGAGAGTGGGATAACGCCGTGGTCCAACGAGCTTTCTAACCTCGGTTAGTGCCAAAATTGCGAATTCAAATGGTGTGTGTAGGCACCTTGACTGAGACACCATGGTAAAAGTCAGGCGGTGTTAGAGATCACTGAAAACAGTCCTTTTAAATCTAGATACTGGTGCCTTTGCCTCCTACTGTGAAAATTGTTAACCAATAGCTCTGTGAGTAATCTCGAAATGAAGGCAAGTATAGCTATCCTTATTATAAAACGCAGATGTGAAGTGAAGTGAAAAGACCCAAAATCATGCTGCATATTGGGGGCAGAGCCAAGGACCCGGGTCTCGATTGGAAAGCCAGTGCTGCCTCGGGCTAGTCTCTCTGCCTGTGCTCGTTACCGGTTTTGTAGATTGCTGGTATCTGTGGCTCCTGCTCTGCTTGAATATTTTCCCTGGTTTGGTATCAGTAGAGTTGTCCAGGAAGATGAGGAGGGTCTGTTGGTGGAATTTCTTCTGAGAGAAAACATAAGACTTCCTCTGTGACCTGGACTCTATCGCCCAGTCTGGCTGTGCTGTAAATCCAGCCCTGGAGGAGCAGCAGCAGCCTTGCCTTACCCTCGCTTACCCCGGCGTTGCCTTTCAGTACCCACCAGAATATTGACAGCATAAATGAACCAAAGAGCGTAACGTGTTCAGATTCCACCCTGTTACGGACTATATATACTTCAGAGGTAGTAAAGGACAGCTCCAGAAACTCGTTGCCAGCTGGACGAGAGCTGAGGCCACTGTGAAAAGGATGTGCCCGGCTTCTAGAGAAATAACTTTATCTTAACACGGACCTGCTGCAGAGAGCGTTCTGCCTTGCTGCGAGGCACGCTGCGCCAGCAGCCACGGGAGGGTTAGGCGTTATAGCCGAAAGGTTGCAGCAGGAGTTTGCTTGGCCTGTGTCCTTTCATAGGTGAGCGCATACTTCCTGGGAGGTTCACGGGTATAATCCCAAGACATATAATAAGAGCGCGATTACAAAAGCGCCACACACCCTTTGCTGCTTATTGCAAGTCTGAGGCATCAAAGTATGATTTGTAAAGTCTCTCGGAAGTCTTGTAATTCTAACTGCCATACAGCTTTCGATCTCGCTGGCTGAAATGTTTGCTGAAGCCGTAAAAGAAACTTGTTTCCATTTGACCCTTTGCTCCTGCGAAAGCCAAAAACGTGGTCGGAAATCTATTTTCAAACGGGATCTTCCCTTAATGTGTGAGCGTGACTAGTTTGGTTAGCGAGGCAGAATTTGGAGGTTGTGCAGTGCGGTAGGCTCGCCACTGAGCTTTTCACTCTGTTGTGCCATTGTTTTCTGTAGCTGCGAGAACATTCAGCCTTTTATTGAGGAATTTCTACAGATCTT